TTCAAGCTGTGGACAATGACCCTTAGTATGGAAGCGCCACCTTGTGGGTAGGCTGGTTTTTAAATTAAAAAAAACTGTCAGGTGTTTATGGTGCAGCCTGTACAGTAGAGGCGAGGGTTGTGAATCACCACCTTGTTTAGTGGCTAACTGTAATACCTTTCAGGCATATAACTCAATAAATGTCTGTCTGTCAGGGTTATGGCGTGTTGGTGTTAATGTCGTGGCTGGCTAGGATCATGTGAGCTGTGTGTCTGGGTCACATCTGCCCAGTTATCCTGCTTACAAATATTTATGGCACTTGGAATTTTGGTATTTATAATAAATACAAGCATATATTGTTTTCATGCTTGTATGTTTTAAAATACCAAAATTCAGTAGCTGCATCAAATTCCATAAATGGTTATGTTTAAGCAAAGTAAATTTCTCCAATCACAGTCCGTCAGCTGGACGCCGCTGCAAAGTTGCCACATTTTTTATTTTACTGATAGCTACCAAATAACTCAATAAAATACTTGTTGTGTTATTAAAAATTATCATACATTTTTCACATTGGTTTAACATGTTTTGTTTAATATTAAATGTACTGGAGGGAATATTGTCAAAGAACGTGGCATAGGGAGAGATTTATCTAGTCAAATCATACAATACAATATAATCTTACATAACTTGTAACTTATAAAATTATCATACAATACACAATACAGTAGTACAGTACAGTGTATAATACCTCCGTTAGCGGTAACTTTCCGATTGCCAGAATTGAAATTTGCTTGGAATTTTTCTGGAAATTTTCTCTCAATTCCGGGTTTGGGAACGATTTTCTGAGGTTAAAAATCACACATTTTCTGGAAATTTTGAAAAAAAAATCCGGAAACTCCAAATTTGTTCTGGTCTGGGAACAAATTCCGAGGATGAAATGTGTAATTCTGGAAAATTCTGAAAAAAAATAATACAAATCTGGAAACTCTCCAAATTTTTTTCCGGGTCTGTGAGCAAATTCCGAGGATGAAATAATGTAATTCTGGAAAGTTTCAAGAAAATTCCAAAAACTCTCCAAATTTTTTCTGGGTCTGGAAGAAAATTCTGATGAAGAAATAATGCCCAATTTCTGGAAAATTCCGAGAAACTTTTCCCAGTACATACCTGGAAAAATTCCAGGGATTGGGGGATTTTTTCTGGGTTTGAGATGGTTGTCTAGTTACCCGGAAATCTCTCCCTAGAAGTGCTCTGCATCAGTTGTTCCAGCTAACGGGGATATCACTTTTGTGCACTACAAGATGGAAGCAAGTAGCTTAGATCCATTACAACAATGGACAGTGAGATCCTGAGTGGTGTCTCTACCATCACTTCCACCCCTCACCCGCCAATTCCTGCATGCACCATAGTGGGAAATTTGAAAAATAATTATCTTCCAAACACGGTTAAGGGGTGTTTAATGCGGTTATATGGTAGTACGCACAGTACTATTGGTTTCAATTTATGAAGCACGGTAAAGCCCTGGCTTAGGTAAATGATTGGCAGTGAAATGATCGTCTAATATAGGGGTGTGCAAACTTTTTGCCTAGAGGGCCACAATAAAACATCTGATGCATGAACGGCCATATTGCTTTTAAAATTCAAAATTAGTGATAAATTTAAAGCCAAAAAGACAAAATTTTTATGCATTGTGTTTGTTGGCTATGAAAAGAGTTGTTAATGGGATGGTTGACTTTGTACTTGCTGCATGAAGTCTGCAGTGTCTGCCTGGATGGATGACATACCAACACGAAGGGTGTTTAGCAGGTACACATCAGTACCGTATTTTTCGGTTTAGAAGACGCTGCATCGCGGAAGAAGCACCCTGATTTTGGATATGAAATTCTAAATTTTTTTTTTTTTTTTTTTTGTGGGTATTAGCCCACCTGGGCACAGGTCACTGGCCCACATTGGGGCCTAGGGGGCGAAAATGTAATAATAATTATATTAAAGAACCATAAAGAAATACAAAAATGAAAAAAAAAATCAAGAGTGAGAAACAATATACGTATGTATGTTGTGTTGTCAAAGTAAGAGAAACAATTGAGACCCTGCAATTGTGTGTAAATGTGGCAGGAAGTCAGATCAGCAACCTGGGACTTGGTCACAATTTTCGTGATGCCATATGGCAGCAGGGTCTACCAATATCTTCCCAGGCAGTAGTACCGGTAATAGAGGACCTTTATTTTTTCATAGTGATATTCATTTTTGTCACAAGCTGGCAATATTTTTTGTGCATGACCAGAAAGTTGTGGATAATCTGCCCCCTTGGGTGTGGGGGCCACAGACAGGGTTCAAGGTAATTTCAGAAGTGGGCCACATTGAAAGGCTTCCAGGGATGCAGTTTGCATAGCCCTGGTGTAATGTATATTTTTGTTCAATCCAGAATGTGATGTCTAGCTTTATACCTAGGTATGTTAATGCTTAGCATTAACTCGCCAGGCCAACACACAGTTAATTAAAACATCTAATAATTACTTAAATACATAATGTTAGGAGGACATGTCGCTACCTGGCATTTAATTGCAATTCTCAAAACCCCCTCCTGCACCCTCCATCACTCGCACTGCCACCGTCATCTCTTGCCCTAGAGCGAGCAGTAAACAAATGTCAACTCTCGAGGGTTGGAGATGGGTGGAATGTCGACGTCGCATTCTGGACTATATCACAAAAGCTGGTTTTTAGAAAAAGCTGGCTTTTTTACCTTAAATGAACCTCTGCCAAATCTCCCGGGATGCCAATTGTTCTCGTCGGCTCTTAAACTATGAATTTGCTAATCTGGTCTTTGGAAACATGAAAATATCGTCAGAAGCTCAGTTTGAGGGTTTTATAACCATAAATATTGGCTTGGTTGTCTTTTGTTTTCAATTTTTTAAGCTTCACTTTCCTGGGGGGGGGGGTATAGCTTGTGCAAATCCCCCCCTTTTTTCCATGTATATGTTTTTTTCACCTCTTTTATGTACAGTATAAAGGATGAGATTCATATACAGTTACAGTGGGGTATGCTATAACGAACGGATCCTACTACGAATATTCCTATAACGAACGGTTTTACCTATAAAATTGAGAATGCTATAACGAACGCAACTCCTACAACGAACGCGGATGAATACCGGACTATTTCGCCTGGCGCATGAATATTGTTGTACCGCGACCCACAACAAGAGCGTCAGGCGCCATCTTTGTCTCATTGTGTAGCCAGTGCACCACTGTTATTGTTGAAATTTCGTCTTTTGATGTGGAAATTCGCGTTATTTGTATAACTATTTTGTTATACAAGTATACAATTGTAACAATGAGTCGTCCAAAGCGAGTGAGAAAGCTAATAACCCTTGAAACTAAGAAAGAAATTATAAAGAAACGTGAGAATGGAAGAAGCATTGCGAAACTTAGTGATGAATATGGGATGGCTAAATCGACTATATGTACGATTTTGAAGAATAAAGAGGAGTTAAAAACTGTGCAAGTGGCTAAGGGAATCTTTAGACTTAGCAAAGCAAGGTGTAATGTGATTGAAGAGATGGAAAATTTACTCTTAGTGTGGATAAAGAAGAAAGAAATGGCAGGTGGTAACATTAGTGAAGCTATAATTTGTGAGAAGGCTAAACAATTGTTTGAGGACCTTAAAGCCAAGACTCCCAGTGGAAGTGATAGTGATGTGCCAGTGTTTAGGGGTACCTGCATGCTGAATAACACTAAGGTATGATAAAGTACCGTATTTTTTACATTTTCCACAGAATTTTTTCAGTGTTAAGCGGTTGTATTTGGGGGCCTGGAACGGATTAATCCTATAACGAACGAATGCTATAACGAACGAGATTCTGGAACCAATTACGTTCGTTATGGCATACCCCACTGTAGTTGGATTCAAATCCCATAATATGGATTTGGATACATTTCCAATTTTTTGACAGTATCATTGGATTCTAAGTGAATTGATTGTTCCTATACAGTACTTACTGTTCTTCCCCAAGGGCAAGCTAACCATCTTGTTTTTGAAAAGCATAATTATGGCATCATGTTCGGTATCATATCGCAAGTTATCTGCTTGTGGAAGATCAAAACTCTGCAAGAGTTCATCTGTCAACATGGACTAGAGTAAAAGAAATAACTATTATAAGGTCAAAAACATTTCTTTGTGCGTGAGTGTTAGCGTGCTGAGCGGGAGCGCAGAGGTAGCATCCCAGCTGGGCTGATTTGCTATGGCAAGTGTTGAGGCCACGCTGCCAGCATCTTATACAAATGGCAGTTGTGTTAAACTTTCATTTTGCTTTTCCTTAATGGTTTTAGTTGCATATTTTCACCTAGATAGTATGTACAGTATTTTATTTGAAAAAAAATTTAGTGTGTTAGGTAGTACAATGTATATTACAGTACCGGTAGATGGGTACTATTTTCATTGGTTAGGTAGTTTTTTTTTGTGAATTGATATCATATTTTGGGGGTAAAATATTGGGGCTTTTCTTGTTGTTGGGGAGCCGAACCCTATTTTTCGCATTTGTTCTGTTTTTCGAGATATGAAAAGTCAGTTAATGAATTGTTTTCCCAGGAACCTAACCCATGAGTTAAGTGAGGGATACCTGTATCTGTATATGATAAGTTTACAGATTTACTCTTGGATTTTTAGTCTTATGGTTAATGCAGATTTTGGATTTCTACCACTTCAGTATTGTAAGCTCTAAAGTTCCAATATTATGTATACCCTACAGTACAGTACTGTATTACATTGAAGAATCATGTTCTGTACTTTACTATTTTAAGCATTGAAGCTATGGTAATACCCTTGGAGTTTCAAATCATAATCATGGTCCTCTTTGAATCATACAGTATTAGTCTTATAATTCTCATGTTGTCTCCTATAGGCACATAATGTGTTAGTATTCAGCAACAATAAGCAAGAAAGGGCTCAGGAGAAAAAGTTTAAAATTCAGAGTTGTATCTACAGTCCTCATTAAAAAGAAACACTAATGAAAACAATGTTTCAGTCCACATGACCAGAGATTCCTCATTGAGGAAGTTCATGGCCTCCTTCAGGAGATGAAAAATGTCAGCATAGACAGCATCGTGATGGATTTTGCTAAATCCTCACTTCATGAGCACATCATCCACATAAAAATATGTGAACTTGACTCTGCTTGTGACTTGAAGGTACAGTACTGCAGTTTATATTTTGCCTTGTTAAGAAAGTTTCCTGTAATGCTTTGAATTGTTTAAACAATTTCATCAGACTATTAGTTTGTCTTGGTCACTCGCAGAATGGTTTGGGTAACTTAGCCCTATATTTTTTCCCATTCATTCCACTGCATTTTGTAATGACTAACTACTATGCCAAAGATTTTCCTAAGCACATCTAAAAGTAAACCACATCCTGCAACATATATAGATCACAATCATCATCACCCCCACCACTACTTTACAGCCACTTTGCACACTGTAGTGGGCTAATTATGATTACCTGATGATACCTCTCCATGCTGCACAGCCTATTACAGCCTCTCTTGTCAGGTTCTAATCTCTGTAGTATCTTTCTTACAACTTCTCTCCATGTAATTTTTGGCCTGTACTTTGCCCTCCTCCCCTCCACATTCAAACCCATGTACCTCTTAACCCAGTTGGTCTCCTCCATTCTTTCCACATGTCCAGATCATCTTGGCTCACCTCTACACAAAATCTTGCTACTCAGCTGCCCTTTTAGTGCTAATCAGGATTTCCTATCTTTCAATGTCACATTACACATCTATCTCACCATTCTTAATTTAGGTTGCTTGAGCCTACATGTGTAATCTTCTTTAACTGCCCATGTTTCACTGCCATACATCATCACACTTCTTATGCCAGTTACATCTTTCCTTTCGTATAAAAAGCTCCCTACTTTTCTATTAGTTACTTCTGACTTGCAACTGAGCTAGCTTCAGCACCACCTCCAGCACTGATTATGTTAGCCTTGTAGCAGAACTCATTGATACAGTCCAAGGATATACTGTATCCCCAATGTTGAGTTCTTCCAGCTTTGCTAAGACTACATGATTGCCAGCACATACAACACACTTGACCCCTTCACTCTGGGCATGCCACTTTTAATATTGTGTTTGGTAAATGCCAGGGGATTTTATTCAGCACAGAGGGGAGCTTGTACACAAGGGGTTAAATTTTTAACATCTTGAAGTTTGCCGTTTTTGCCACTGCCTCTCTTGTGTACCCATCTTCCACACTCAGTGTGCATTATTGAGTTGCTGCTAACACCTTTCTTACAGACCAGACATGGCCACTTTCCAGTTTCTACCATGGGAGATTCACATATGCCACTATTTTTTTTTTTCGCCACATTCACTCTCATTCCCATAGACTTCGTTCCATCATTCTGATTCTTAAATGTCTTCACTATCTCTTCAATACTATCTGCCATCAACATTAAGTCATCAGTTCCCAGGGCAAACCAGTCATAAAATTTCATGCTAGTGCCTCTAGCACAATGATAAACAGAAGGTAGTTCAAGAAGGACCCTTGATGGACTGACCTGTACTTTCACCTCAAATTCTTCAATGAACTCGCCATTTATTCTCATGGTGGTTCTTAAACCTTCGTACAAAGCCATAACAATTGTTTTTATCTTTTTGGTCACCATCGTCTTGCCAAGATCAGCTGAGGCCTTCATATTTTTGTAATATTCCAGAGCTACCAATAGCTTTTTCATCCTTCATTTTATCAGTCATTTTCTTTACCCATTCTCTTTCAGTCCATGGACATAGGTCCTTTTACTGGTCCTCTGCTGCATTTAGGCTGCCCCTGTTTCATTCAGCAGACAATAGTTGTATGTTCTCCAAGTATCCTTGATTTCCTCATTACTAACAACCACAACCACATTTCTCTCACACTGCTGACCAGCATATTTGTTTCTACCCACTATGTACTGTATTTGCCTTGACATTCTGTATACTTCACCTCTTGCATCTGCACTCTTTAGTTTATCTGAGTCTTTCTCTTTAAATAACAAAAATTTTGTCACTTGCACTATTTAAGTCCATCATAAATAACAGATATAGGTGGTTTAGCTGCAGAGATTTCACAGGCAATTAATTACTTCCCCTTGGTCATAAAATAGGATTTCATATTTCAATCCATCATTTCTGTGTCATTTCAGCACATAGACATAGCTATGGTGCAGCCAGAGTATCATGTGTATCACCTAGAGTGTTATGGACCAGGTATTGAGGAGCTGGGTGAGGGAGAAGAAGATATTCCTGCAGCTACACATTGGATGTTGCCTTCAACTGAGTTTGAAGATATGTGGGAAAATCTCATATATGACACTCCAATTAAGGAACAGGTAAGAAATGCAGAGTTAAAGCTCTACAGTGAAATAGAGCAAGAGAGAATTGAAGATTTAAAAAAAAAAAAGTTACTTTGATATTATTAATCAAATCCATTGAATAATAATTGAAGTTTAGCGCTGCATATAGTACAGTAGTTCTTAGATGCACAAAATCTCTCAAATTTGTCTTTCCTCCCATTCCCTCACATAGCTCCTCAAGTTTGTTCGCACCACCCTTCTGTTTTCTGACAAAGGAATGAATAAGAACATTATCTCTTGGAACAAAGTGATTCTGTTGCATGGTCCACCTGGAACTGGTAAGAGTTTTTTATACATCTTTATCATCATTTTCTATTGTTATGAAGTAATATGTGAATTTATATTAGGTCATAGATAATTTGTTTCTTTACATTTTCAGGTGAAAGCAATTTATTTATTTATTTTTGTGCTCAGGATACTTTTCTCTTATTTTTATGTGTTTCCAGGGAAAACTTCACTGTGCAGAGCCTTGTCTCAAAAACTGAGTATCAGACTAGACTCGAGATATAAGTATGCTCAACTGGTTGAGATCAACTCTCATTCCCTCTTTTCAAAATGGTTTTCTGAGGTAAGAATCACATAAAGAAGAGTGTACCCTGTATTCTTTAGACTCACAGGAATTCCCAACCTTTTTTTCACTGTGGACCAGGGTGTATACTTCCATTAAATATATATATATATATATATATATATATATTGTACCCCTCTAGTCCGGCAACCTCGGGACCTGACCGGTGCCGGACCATGGAAATTCACCCTTTTCCTGGATAGATAGTGACTTGGCTTGGAAGCACTAGCACCACTTTCTCTACTTCATGGTTTCTTTGAAGACATATTGAAGGGTTAAATGTCGTACAGTAGTTTCTCAAATTTCTCTAGTTTTTAATTCGACGTTTTCTATTTGAACACACAAAAAAAACACATTTAAAAATTTTGACAGCAGAAACTCGAATTTCGACGGGTTTGAACGGCCCACCAACGTTCAGACGACATGCACAATCATGTAAACCGTCATTTCTCTTATGTATAAAAGATTCATTATTGTTTATTACTGAAAGTCTTTTTGATTGAATTAATGTTTGTGTGTGCAAAATGAGCAATACAATTAATTAATAATACGTAGAATATTAAAACACGAGGAAATGAGACAGCATTGTTTTCGTTGATTACAAAACCAGTGACTGACTGGTTCTACATATAAAACTGAAGAAAATAAGACCTTGGTTGTAACTGTAGTAAAATTAGTATGGTTGTTTTAAGTAATGTTATTTAATGTTAATAAATGGAACAATAGAAGTAGCTAACGATAATGGTAAAGAAAAAAAGAGAGATCACGTATGTAAGTGCTCACACGTGAAAACATATCGTCATTACTTTACATAAGAATATGAAAGCAACACTTATTTACTGTTCATATATATTTTAATTAATGTTTCTGAATTTGTTTTTATTGAATTAATGTTTGTGTGTGCAAAATTAACAATACAATTTATTAATAATACGTGGAATATTAAAACACACGAGGAGACGAGACGGCTGCCAGCATTGTTTTTGTTAAGCTTACAAAACCAGTGACTGATTGGTTCTACATATAAAACTGAAGAAAATAAGATCCTGATTGTAACTGTAGTAAAATTAATGTAAAAAATTAATATGGTTATTTGAAGTACCTACAATGTTATTTAATGTTAATAAATGGAACAATATAAGTAGCTAACCATTAATGGTAAAAAAAAAAGTGAGACTGCACGTATGTAAGTGCGCACATGTGAAAACATATCTTCATTACTCTACATAAGAATATGAAAGCAACACTTATTTACTGCTCATATATATTGAAGGGTTAAATGTTGTACTCTGTATAGACAAGCAGAGAGAGAGGGAGAGCAGCTGAACTGCCGGATGTAAACAAACCTTAATTTCCCGCCTTCATAATGTAAACAACGCCGTAGCGTCTCTTCACTCCGGGCTGGGATGCATTCGCTCTGGCGCAAATTCCATTTCGAATCCATAGAATATATTTATGTTTTCCTCTTCGGAGCTTACAAAAATACATATCCATATAAAAAATATTCTAAATCACAAAATAGTTATCTCTGAAGTTCCTCATACCACATATATATGCTGATAACCACAAAGGAAACAAGAAAACAAAAAAGCGTTTGGGAACTTCATGTTTTCTTGTTTCCTATGTGGTTATCAGCATATACATGGATCATGCGCACCTACAGTGATTTATTTGCATATATTGTACTTTGCATAGTACAGTGTTCATATATAGTTCAGTACAGTATATTGATCAACTTCAAGATTCATGAAAACTTTGTAATACCTTGTACTTTGCATAGTATATAGTACAGTACTGTATATTGATCTTTGTCATAAATTATTCTAATATATTTTTTGAATGCCCTGTTACAGTATTGTACAGTATAACAAAAATTTTACAGAGTGGCAAATTGGTGCAGAAGATGTTCACCAAAATTACAGAGCTAGCAGGTGATCCTCAGTCACTGGTGATTGTTCTTATTGATGAGGTGGAAAGTCTAACTCGTGCTCGTGAATCCTCATTAAATGGAGCAGATCCAAGTGATGCTGTTCGAGTTGTAAATGCTGTCCTTACTCAACTTGACCAGGTCAATAAGTAAGTACAGTACAGTTGATTCTAGCTATTTGCGAGAGTTAGGTTCCAGTGACCCTCTGTGAATAGAATTAGCTGCCATATTATTGTATGTTTGAGTCGCCCGTAAACACAATCATATTTGGTATTTCAGTATATTTTTTCTTAAATACACGTACAATGGTGAAAAATATTAATAAAAAAATGAAATCTACTTACAACAATATATATATATATATACAGTATATATATATATATATATATATATATATATATATATATATATATATATATATATATATATATATATATATATATATATATATATATATATATATATATATATATATATGTATATATATATATATATATATATATATATATATATATATATATATATATATATATATATATATATATATATATATATATATATATATATATATATATATATATATATATATATATATATATATATATATATATATATATATATATATATATATATATATATATATATATATATATAATTTTTTTCCAGGTACCCAAATGTCCTCATTGTTACTACCTCCAATATATCTGGTACAATTGACCTTGCCTTTGTGGATCGTGCAGATATAAAACAGTACATAGGCCTCCCCTCTCGAGCTGCAATCTACCAGATCTACTATTCGTGCATCAATGAAATGAAAAGAGTAAGCTTTCTGTATTTTATTTTTTAAATGCTTTAAGTTGTTTAAATTTCTTTAGAAGGTTCTAGGTTTTAATCTCGTCGGAAACTTTTCTGGGTAAGGAAACATCAGATATTTTTAAGACTATGGTTCTTTAATTTCACTTGACAAACTTTTGTGGCCAGCATTAGGATGGGTTTGTTGTTCATCATTCAGTTTTATTACTCCAGGTTAAAATTAGTGTTGGGTTATTAGTGTTTCAGGATCATGTTAGAAAGCTACCCAGACAGATACTGTATTCAGTTCAGTGACATCCCCGTTAGCTGCAATAATTGGTGCAGAGCTCCTCCAGGGATGAGAGAGTTCCAGGTAATGAGATGACTCTCAAACCCGGATTAAACCCACATTCTTGGATTTTTTCTGGATACTGGGCAGTTTCCGAAAATTGTGCATTATTTTATCCTTAGAATTTGTTCCCAGACCCATAACACAAAAATTTGGAGATTTACTGGGAATTTTCCAGAATTGCGCATTATTTCATCCTGGGAATTTGTTCACAGGCCTGGAAAAAATTGGAGCGAGTTTTTTTAATTTTCTCTGAATTTTACAGAATTACTCATTATTTCATTCTCAGAATTTGCTCCCAGGCTTGGGAAAAAAATGGAGAAAGTATCCAGAATTTTTCTTAGAATTTTCTAAAAATGTGCCTGATTATCAACCTTGAAATTTGCTTCTAGGCCCAAACAAAAAATTTCTGGAGAGATTTCCTGAAAATTTCTCAGAAAAGGTGCCTCATTTTCCTCCTTGGAAACTCTTTCACAGACCCAGAACGGAGAGAGTTTTTTCAGAAAAATTCTGAGTCACTTTTAATTCTGGGTATTTTGGAGGGTTCCAGCTGACAGAGATATTACTTACAATTACTGTACCTGTACATTAATATCTCCGTTAGCCGGAATCCCTCATAACTGGAACTCTCCAATAGCTGGAATTGAAATTTTTTTCGGAAAATAATTCCCAAAGCCGGAATCTTCCTCAAAATTCCAGTTCTGGGAACGATTTTCCATGGGGCACATTTTCTTGAAAATTTCCTGAAAATTTTTCCAGTACCCGGAAAATTCCAGGGATGGGGGAGCTTTTTCCGTGTTTGAGAGATGAAAATCGGGCGCATTTTCTGGAAATTCTGAAAAAAAATTTCCGGTATCCGGAAAATTCCGGGGATGTGAGATATTTTACCAGGTTTGAGAGATAAAGTATAGTGAACCCTCACTTTACGTGGTCAATTCAACCCACAGCGGCCCGCGTAATGTGAGAAACGCGTAAAGTGAACAACATAACATATGGGATTAATTGAAATAGAGACCTGGCCGACTTTTAACTCCACTTTTTCCCGACACAATACGTACGTTTTACTAAAAATAACATCTTAACTTTATGATGGTATTCACAAACACATAATATAGAAAGGAACAGTCAATTAACTGAAGGTTAGGTTAGAAAAAAACAAGGTTGGGGTTAACACTTACGTTAGTAGAAGAGATGGGTTGGCATACGGGAATGGAGGCTGGTTCCGAGGCAGAGGACAGGCTACTGGCCCTCAGGTGAGTCACCATCACTGTCATCCACACTTGTCAGGGCCTCCCTGACAAATCCCTCAAAGTCATCATCACTGTCTCTACCTCTGTCACTATCACTGGCTTGGGCTGGCTGTGGTGGGTTGTGGGCGAAGAACTCTGTTATGCTTTGCTGACGGCTGGTGTTTATGTTGTCGTGATAAACCTTGATGTAGGGCTCCATAGTCTGCAACAGCTGGGTAGTGAAGATTTCATACCTGTTTGCGTCAGGGTCATCGGAAAGGAGGAGCTTGACTTTCTCGATACACTCGATGGCACCCCTAACATTACTATGGGATAAGCGGTGTTCTTCTTGGGATGACGCACCACCTGCCTCTTCACTGACGTCATCATCATCTACCATCTCGTCGGTAGTCACATCAGGATCCCTTATCACCTCCAGGATGCCGTCGTTGGTGGTCTCGGAGAAGCCTGCAGCTGTAACACTCTGCGCAGCTTCTCTGGCAAGGTCCACTGCTACTGCAACAGTCTGAACCTCACCAGTCACAGATTGACTCTGCCTAACGGCCGGAATGCCTTGCAACACATGTCTCCATGCGTGACGAACAGTTGCTACAGACAGCTGATCCCATGCCTCCACCAAGAAGTCCACAGCTTTCTTGATGTTGAATATTCTCCAGAATTGTTTTAAAAGTACTTGTTGCTCTGCCAACTGTTGATCCTCGTCGTCTTCGCTCCTGCTATCGGTGGTGGTGTCACTCAGGTTACGCAACTCTTCCTTGGTGTTGGTGTAGTCGTTCAGGAGCTTGAATTTTTTAGTAGAGAATGCAGCTTTTACATAACAGATTAACTCTTGGTCCATGGGCTGTAATATAGACGTAGTGTTGGGAGGAAGGAAGACCACTTTTACGTTGGGGTGACGATCTAACAGTAGGGGCGAGTGTCCTGGTGCGTTGTCCAGCAGCAACAAAATCTTGAATGGCACATTCTGTTGCTCACGGAATTTCTTCACATCGGGAACGAAACAGTCATCAAACCAGGAGAGGGACAGTGTAGAGAACATCCACGCCTTACGTGCAGTCAGCCAGTGGACATTTAGCTTGGTCATGTCCATGCTCTTGTAGGCGTGTGGCTTGCGTGCTGTGTGGATCACCGATAACTTGAGCTTACAGGTACCGGAGGCATTGGTGGTAAACAGGACGGTGATGCACTCCTTCTGCAACCTCCGGCCCCGAATCTTGCTGGCATTCTTCACAATGAAGGTCTTGCAAGGTAGCCTTTTCCAAAAAAGACCAGATTCGTCCATGTTAAACACCTGGTCGTCGGTGTACTGTCCTTCCTCCATAACCTCACGTAAAAACGGAGGAAATTCCCTAGCCGCAACACGGTCAGCACTAGCTTCTTCACCACCAATGTTGATATTGGTGATCTTGTTCCTCTTCTTAAACCTCTGTAACCACCCAGAGGAAGCATTTAAGGGTTTGGGCTCTGTAATTCCCATCTTTCGTGACACTGCAGCATACAGTTCACGTGCGTACTCCTTAACAGAGCGCGTGTCCACCGCCATGTTCCATCGCGCCTGACGCACCAAGTAGCTCACAAGTAATTTTTCCGTCTTGAGAAGCACCTGGTTGTGGAAATACTTGATCATAGAAGCACCTGTAGACTTTGTGATGTTCATGTGCTCCTTTATCTTGGCTGCATCCTTCTTAATTGTCCTGATCGTAGACTCGTTAACACCATGCTGGCGCGCGAGATCAACCTGTCTTGTTCCTTTCTCCAACTCTTGTATGATCTTATACTTAATTTCGTAGCTTAAGGAACGTCGTGTCTTCTTTGGCTTAGGGCGGCTGGGTCCAGGTAAGGAAAGGTTTCTCTCTGGGGGCGGTGGTCCGGCGGAAGCCATTTTACAGAACAATGGATGCACGATTACACGGTGTGGCCTGGAGGGATGAAACTGCCGCGGCTAGGTCAAGCGTCGTCTTTCCTCCCTCCCTCCCTCCCGCGGGTGGACACGTCACATTACTTTAAACCAATCACAGCTAGCAGCGGAGGGAGGTAAGGATGCATGGCCCAATTACAGTCCGATACATCATATGACGTCACTGATAACGCAACAAAGACACACACTGCGCAACCTACTCGCGCCGCTTACACAACATGGCGGGAGAGATGGCGGGAGGTTTGGATCCAAAAATGGCGCTGCGCGAGATGACCGCCAGCCGCTCTCCGCATAAAGGGGTACACGCACCGCGGAATGTGAGCATTCCGGTTTCGGCAGGGAACCGCGTAAACGTGGAAACGCGGAATGTGGGACCGCGTAAAGCGAGGGTTGACTGTAATGGAAAATTTCTGGAACTTCCAAGAACATTTTTCCGTTACCTGGAAAATTTCGTGGATGAGTTTTTTTCCAGCATTTAGTGACGATTTGATGCGCAATATCTGGAACTAATGAGAATATGTTTTTGTAACCTGGAAAATTTCAGGGATGAGGGATTTTTTCCGGCTTTGAGAGAGTCATCTCGTTACCCGGAAATTTCTCATTCCTGGAAGTGCTCTGCACCGATTGTTCCGGCAAACTGATATATCACTGTGCTTGCATTATGGATTCAGTTGATTGGTGATTCTATGTAGAGTATAGGAAGAACCAGAACAGTTACTTTTGTGTTTGACTTGCTTTTAAAGATAATTATAAGCAGTGTTCAGTAATCTCTCACTGCAAGGGTTACAGTCTACAATTCTCCCACTATTGCAGAACAGTGGTTGGCAAGGGCTGTTTCTAATGGGAAATGGGGGTTTGGGGAAATTACCTGAGAGAGAAATACCTAAAACCCTGATAACCGACGCATATAGGGACTATGAAAAGTCGTTGGTTAGCGAATCAACGGTTATCGATGCAATTAATCCCATAAGAACATAACAAATTCGGGAGGTTATGGACCAGCCACCCCTTAAAAATTCTCATCTACCCTTGATATATATCTGTGTGCACACTGTCAAACAAGAAAATAAAGAAGACATATAAAGCACGCATACTAAGCCTAAGATAAATAAGCAATGTAAAGCATAAATTGATATTTTTTGTTCAAGCTGGAATGCGACGTCAGCAATGTTACCTAGGTATGTTAATTCCTAGCCAATTCGCCAGGCCAACATAAGGCAATTAAAACATCTGATAATTACTTATTAAGTAATATTAGGAGGACACGTCGCTACCTGGCATTTAATTGCAATTCTCAAAACCCCCTCCTTCACCCCCCGTCATACACATCACGACCTTCATCTCTTGCCTGGCGATTCAGCTATAAATACACACAAAGGGAAGCTCCGCGAATTTGTGTTCTAATTGTTGAAATACAGTCAGCCCTTAAAATACGCGGGTTTAGCATACACGGATTTGCAAATACGCAGATTGCCCCGCTGGAGGAATATTCTGTACATTGAAGTAATTGA